TGATAACACCACTGCACTCCAGCCAGGGTGCCAGAGTGAGACCCTGTTTCTAAAAATAAATTATTTAATTTCTAAAAATCTACAATCGGTTGACTCTGAGTAAAGGAGATTATCCTTGATTATATGGGTGGGCCTCATCTAGTCAGTTGAAGTCCTTAAAAGCAGAAACCGAGGTTTAACCAAGCTGGCTGGTCAGGACTCTGATTACCATTCTCAATTTTTATAGTAGGTGTAGTTCTTAAAGACTTCAGCAAAACAAATCATTCCTATTTTCCAACTTACTCAAATATGTGGGAGGAAACAAACTAGATTTATGAGGTACTGGTTTATATAAATTAAATTGTCTTTACAGTATGCCTATTTCTTCCTGGATAGAGAAAACAGGCTCTTATCAACATGGACTTTTATCACTGTCAAAGATGATCTTTCATAAAAATAACCACCTCTGCAAATCCATACCTTTCTTTGCGAAACAAATTATCTTGGGCTTTTAAAGATGCAAAGATCTTAGAGAAGGATGTATGACCTCTAACTCAAAAATTACAAAGGTACAACCAAATATAGCAAAATCGTGCTCTAAACTGCTTTCCAAGCTAATGTAGAAATGCTATATAGAAACTGCCACCACACTTTCTATTACTTAAATGATTAATATTCACACATTAATAAATCTAAAAATTACCTAATACATAACATTATTCATTGTTGCATTGTTTGTAACAGTAAGATACTGAAAAAACAATCCACAGATGTTCATCACGGGGCGGGGGTGGGGAGTGGGGGGTGGGGAATTGGGGAGGGATAACATGGGGAGAAATGCCAGATATAGGTGATGGGGAGGAAGGCAGCAAACCACATTGCCATGTATGTACCTATGCAACAATCTTGCACGTTCTTCACATGTACCCCAAAACCTAAAACGCTATTAAAAAAAAAAAATATATATATATATACACATATATATATGATGGCACATACAAAGGAATACTATACAGCTGTTAAAAAGTACAAAGAAACTGTCAAATATGAGACAATATAAAAAGATCTCCAGGCTGGGTGTGGTGGCTCACACCTGTAATCCCAGCCCTTTGGGAGACCGAGGCAGGCCTAGCACGAGGTCAGGAGATCAAGACCATCCTGACTAACACAGTGAAACCCTGTCTCTACTAAAAAATACAAAAAATTAGCCAGGCTTGGTGGGACGCGCCTGTAGTCCAAGTTACTTGGGAGGCTGAGACAGAAGAGTTGCTTGAACTTGGGAGGTGGAGGTTGCAGTAAGCCAAGATTGCACCACTGCACTCCAGCCTGAGCGACAGAGTAAGACTCCATCTCAAAAAAAAAGGTCTCCAATATCTCTGAAAGCAAAAAGAGCAAGGTGTATAACAGTATAACAGCATGCCATGCTTGCATTTAAACAAGAAAATCTAAAAGAATTCCAAAGAAACCAAAAGTGGTTAAACGAGATGGGAGGTTTAGAGGGAGGAAGGAGAAGAGCGGTGAGAACAAGGCTTTCACGGTATGTTTTTCCATTCCTTTAAATTTTGAAACATGTGACTATATTGCCTACTCAAAAACAAACAATTCCAAATAATTTAGGCTATTTCTAGCTACCTCTATTTAAGAATAGAAAAAAGCTATGAATCCAAGTCTCAACTTGAAATCAGCCATTCTTGATAGGTTTTAAATGTTTCTATTTCAATGTGCATACAAAACCAAGAAGTTCCATTAAAAATACTCAGAAAGGCCGGGCGCGGTGGCTCAAGCCTGTAATCCCAGCACTTTGGGAGGTCGAGGCGGGTGGATCACGAGGTCAAGAGATCGAGACCATCCTAGTCAACATGGTGAAACCCCGTCTCTACTAAAACTACAAAAAATTAGCTGGGCATGGTGGCGCGTGCCTGTAGTCCCAGCTACTCAGGAGGCTGAGGCAGGAGAATTGCCTGAACCCAGGAGGCGGAGGTTGCAGTGAGCCGAGATCGCGCCATTGCACTCCAGCCTGGGTAACAAGAGCGAAACTCCATCTCAAAAAAAAAAAAAAAAATACTCAGAAAAAAGCAATTTCTGCTGGGCACGGTAAACATCGTTACAAGGGCAGGTAATGGTGCATCTTTCTGAAGCAACCGATCCACAGGTAGTGCAGCTCTAGCCACTTTCCAGCGAGCCAGGTAGTAGTCTCAACTTAACACCCAGGCCACAATGCATGTCATCTGGAGAAAACGGACTCTGCTGCTTGCTTTGTTCCACTATCAGTACTCAGGATAAGGAGACTTCTCAAAATCAGATTTGGCCAGGCGTGGTGGTTCACGCCTGTAATCCAAGCACTTTGGAGGCCAAGGTGGGCAGATCGCCTGAGGTTGGGAGTTCAAGACCAGCCTGACCAACGTGGTGAAACCCCATCTTTAAAAAAAAAAAGGATTTCAATTGTGACACAAAATAGCTTTACTCCATAATTATGGAATGATTGTTTTAAGTCCTGTGTTTTGAGTACAAGTTCAAAACCCAATTCCTTGAAAGTCAAAGGCAGATGGTATAGTATAAAGAACACTGGCTGAGAGACCGTAGTCATGCCAATTCATTTCTATGGGTCTCCATTTTCTTATTAGTGAAATGAATGGGAGGCCAAGGCGGGAGGTTTGCTTGAGACCACGAGTTCAAGACCACCTTGGGCAACATAGTGAGATACTGTCTCTACAAAAAACTTAGCCGGGCATGGTGGCTCACGCTTCTAATCCCAGCACTTTGGGAGGCTGAGGCAGGTGGATCACCTGAGGTCAGGAGTTTGAGACCAGCCTGGTCAACATGGTGAAACCCCGTCTCTACTAAAAATACACAAAATTAGCAGGGCATGGTGGTGAGCGCCTGTAATCCCAGCTACTTGGGAGACTGAGGCAGGAGAATTGCTGGAACCTGGGACATGGAGGTTGCAGTGGTCAATATCTCGCCACTTCATTCCAGCCTGGGCATGACAGAGTGAGACTCTGACTCAAAATAATAATAATAACAATTAAACATTAGCTAGGCATGGTGGTAACGGCCAAACTCTCTTGAACCTGTATGGGCTCTTTATCCCATAAAGAGCCAGGTCAATTCAATGATCAGAAGAAAGGCAATGCCTCTATCTAGAGCGTATATGCAAGCTCACATAGGTTTCAAATACACAAAGGTCTGCTGACAGAGACACAGATGTTCTATTTTCTGTGCTTTAGCTTCAACAGAAATAATTGGTCCACTGGCTGTAAAGACTTCTCTCATGTATAACTTCTGATTTAACATGAATTACAGTTTTACAGTTAAGTAAAACCTTTAAAAGATTGGTAGAGTAGAGAGGATTATTTAAGGCAAAGTACTGAGTGTGTTAATTAACAAAAAAAGTTTTGGTCTATTATCCTTTCATTTTCATCACCCAAGATTCAAACTTGTATAAAAATGCTTTGGGGAACCGCCTTCCAGAGGGTTATCTATGTTAAGTTTCACATGCGAAGGGAGGGGTGAATACTTCCCTGAGGCAGCAAACACTTTTGAAAATTCCAAGCTCAGAAAAGTATGCTCCATATTCTGATCGATAAAAGCCATGTGGTTTACGAAACACCGAGTCCACAAATACTGCTGCATATTTTTGTCTATTAAAAAACAAAATCCATGCCTTCTTTAGCATTATGTAGTCATAATCAGAGCTTTATTAAAATACTCATGACCCACAGCTTTATAAAACAATTCATCATATTCATCTTTGCAAGGATTCATTCTCTGGCACAAAAGCAGTGGGAAACACAGCTCTGGCAGACACTCGGCAGGGATGCGGGCAGGTTCATCGTCTGGCCCCTGCTTTTACCTGGCAGACACTGGACACACTGCTGAGAAATCAGCTCATCTCATTAGCATGTCTCTACTCTACCAAAAAGAGATGAGGCTCCGCTCCAATTCTGACATTTCATTCCAAGATCACCAAAATCTCCATCAGGTCCTAAGCCAGAGAGAAGGTAGTAGCCATCCATCCCCATAAGTCTTGAGAATAAGATTAAAAGTAATTTAAAAATAACTGCAATTAAAGGAAAATTACTTGCAACTAAAAGTAAACACCAGCTAGGTCATGCAGCAGCAATTCACATTAGCTGGTGCTCACATAACTGAACTACCTTCCTGTGATTCTCTGCTTTGCTATCAAAACCCTCTTCCATCTCCAATGCTGATACCACAACCCAGAGACTGGAGACATTCATCTCTTTAAGTGAAGGTTTGATTCTGATAACAAACGTAATACGTTTCCAATATCTCGGCCTTCACCCAGAGCTAGTCTCACTCCAAAACCCAGGCTTGCCGCAACGCTGGCAAAGGGGCAATTCGAGTGACTCTGATACTCAGATTCCCAAACATTTGTTACTCTCCCCCACCTCCACCCGCTTCTGACAGCCTCTGGAAAGGCACCAGCACTGCAAATGCATGTTTGGCTTCCATCCTCCGCAGGCAATAGAAGCTTTTTCAGAAAAGACCTAATTCTAACCTTTCCAGAGGCTGGGAGGCTGCAGAGCAGGGACAGCACCTGGCAAAGGTGCCTGTTAGGGATGCCGAGGCCGCCCCCCCACCCCGGGCCCTCGGTTCCCGCGAGGCAAATGGGCTGTGGGCCGGACCCGCCGGGTCCGTGCGGGGCGCCGACCTCGCCTGCGACGCCGCAGCCCCGCTCCCCGGGAGCCGCAGTCCCTGCGGGCACGCGTCCCCGTCACGGGGCCAATTACAATGGAGGCCGCTCCCGTCCTCCGGTGGAGGGGCTCGGTGCCCTCGGTGACCCCCGCCAGGCTCCGCAGGACGCCTCCTGCGCTAATTCGCCCGGGGCGGGGGAGACACCGGCCTTCTCCAGGACCTCCCGCGCTCGAAGATCGTTTCGGAGCGGCCGCAACCACTGGGTCCCCGAGAACCCGTGGGGCCCCCTCGGGCCGTCCCGACCCGGACCCCCGCCCCTGCCTCTCTCCCTCCTCGCGGCCGCGGCGCTCGCCCGTCCTCACCGGACTTGGGCGGGTAGCGGTACACGGAATTGGACGGGATGTCCACCTCCTCCACGCCCGCGTGCTGCCGGCTCGTCAGGGCCCCCATGGCTGCTGCTGCTGCAGCCCCAGCCCGGCTCCGGCTCCCGCGCCGCCCTCGGCGCCTCACCGCGGCCGCCCGCCCCGCGCCCAGTGCGGGGGTCGACTGCCCGCCGCGGCCGGCTCCGTTGCGGGGCTGCGGCTCTGGCAGCAGGGAGTCCCCGGCGCGCCGCGCACCATCCTCCGCCGGGCACCACGGCGGCGCCTCTGCCTAGGGGACTGCGGGGCTGGGCCGGGGGCGCCGCCGCCGCCTCAGGCCGCGTGATGTCAGCGGCAGCTCCGCGCTGGGACCGCGGCGGCCCCAGCCAATGGCGAGGCGGGGCGGGAGCGCCCACGCCGGGGCAGCCAATGAGCGCGGGGCTGCAGCAGGAGCCGGCGGCGCGTGCCTAGCGCGGGGAGTCGCGGCAGGACTCCGCGCGCTGGGACACGGCCTCAGGGCTCGCGGCGGGGGCGGGGTGGGGGCGCGGCCGGGGTCTCGCGGCGGGGGCGGGGCCGGCCGGAGCGGGGACCCCGGGAAGCAAGCGCTGAGCGGGGCCGGGACGCGTCACCCCTCCACGCCTGTTTATCCCTGCTCGGATTACCGCGCAGGGAGCCGCCCCCTCCCGCAGTCCGCAAGGCTTGCCTGGCCCGGAGCTCGCTCGCCATTGTCCCGGGCATCCCACAGCAGGCGGTCCCCGCGCCACAGTTCCAGCGGAAGTCTTCCCAGCCCCGCCCCTCAGCATTGGCCGCCGGCGGTCGTCGGAAACCTCACGCCGGGGGGCTAGGAGGGGGTCTCACGTTGCGTTCGCATCTCTCCTGCCCCATTTTCCGCGGCTCATTGCCACCACCAAGTTAATGCTGGTGACCAGCTAGTAAGATGCCACCCCCCTCTCACGTGCGTCTTTTTGAAGCGCTCCCAACTCTGTACGTGCCGTTTATGGCGCCTTGTATCCTAAAGGTGGGAAAACATCGACTCAGGATAAGATCAAGACATGGAGCCTGTGTCCGTATCTTGGAAACGGGATCCTGGAAACTTTGGAAGGCCTGAGTGCTGAGAGAGTCAACGCAGGCGAAAGCGAACCGGGCCAGGCAGAACCCGGGGCTCCTCTTGATAAAAACACAACAGTGGGAAGCTCGGGCCGGCGGAAGACGTCATTCCGTTGCTTAATTACAGACATTTGTGTTTTAAACCTCCTATTTTCTTTGTGGGTCTGTTTTTTTTTTTCCTGAGAGAGTGGACTGATCAGCAAAAATTTCAACTGCTAGAGCATGACTTTCACAACTTTCAGCAGTTTTCCAAGTACAGTTTGGGGTGTCTTGTTCCCTTGATTAGGTTTGTAAAGCTCTTTTACGGAGTCTAGTTCTTTCCTGGTTATATTGTGTTTTTGTTTTTTTGTGTGTGTTTTGTTTTTGAGACTGAGTCTCACTCTGTCACCCAGGCTAGAGTGCAGTGGCTCCATCTCAGCTCACTGCAACCTCCACCTCCCTGATTCAAGCGATTCTCCTGCCTCAGCCCTCCCAAGTAGCAGGGATCACAGGCGTGCGCCACCACGCCCGGCTAATTTTTGTACTTTTAGTAGAGATGGGGTTTCATCATGCTGGCCAGGCTGATCTCGAGCTCCTGACCTCATGATCCGCCCTCCTTGGCCTACCAAAATGCTGAGATTACAGGCGTGAGCCACCGTGCCTGGCAGATTTTGTATTTTTCATTGCCGTCTTTTCAGCAGCAGCCAACAGACCTGATGTTAATTGTGTTGGTTTCTTCCAGGGTCCCCAGGATGGTGGGAACCTATCCCTGTCATTTATATTGGCTACTACTAAGGAAGGCTTGAGCTACAGCGCAAGTCCCTGCAGGGCAGCCTCTCCCAAGCACCAGGGCTCTCTGGCAGAGTTCAGATCTCTCTCTCCAGTTCCTGGTCCTAACTACTCCAAGGCTTTCAGTCATCCCTGTGGGAGGGAACTGGTGTCCTCCTCCATACTCCTTTCAGCACACACAGGCCTTAACTTGTAACTGCTGGGTAAAGGTGAAATACAAATCATGAAGAATCTAGAACCACCTCAAAACACAAGGCCTTCAACACATCACAGAGTAAAATGTTGCCTTATACTCCTTGGCTCTGTTCAGAAGCCTTCTTTCTTCCTGCCCTAAGCATTTTCTAAACGGGACATCCCTTCCCTTTGTGGGTTTACCCATGTCTGAGAGTTTCTTCTGCTTAGCCAGGGCCAGGCAGGGATGTGGCTCAGTCAGTCAGCCCAGTCCTGTTGCTTATGAGGTATCGGTTCTGGTCCCACCTGGGCGTGAGCCTGGGAAGCCAGCTTCTCCATCTTGAATAATACTTTCCAAGCGTAGAAGTTGGTTTCGCCTCCCACGAAAGAGTCATGAGTCCAATGCATAGAATGGTAAAGAAAAACAAGGCATAGCACAATAAAATCAGTGAATATTTATGGAATACTCTATATGCAAGGCTGTTTTAAACACCTAACAAAGATGAAAGCATTCAACCCTCCCAACAACCCTATCAAATACATGCTATTTACACCCCAATTTTACAGTTGAAGAGACTGAGGCACAGAAAGAACGCTGGACTTTGAGTTGGACAAATCAAGACCCTAAGCAGCTATGTAACTTAACCATCTCCGTTTCCTCCTCTGAAAATAGCCCAATCTTCAATGGCTATTGCAGAGATTCAATAAGTGAATCAAGACTCTTTTTGTTTGTTTTGTTTCTGAGATGGAGTCTTACTCTGTCGTCTAGGCTGGAGTGCAATGGTGCGATCTCGGCTCGCTGCAACCTCCCAAGTTCAAGCAATTCTGCCTTAGCGTCCCGAGTTGCTGGGATTACAGGTGCCCGCTACCACGCCCGGCTAATATTTGTATTCTTAGTAGAGACAGGGTTTCACCATGTGGGCCAGGTGATCCTCAAACTCCTGACGTCAGGTTATCCACCCGCCTCAGCCTCTCACAGTGCTGAGATTACAGGCGTGAACCACCACACCTGGCCAAGACTCATTTTTAAAAGAATTATTACCAGAGGCAGAAAAGAAAGAGATAGAAGGTAGTTCAGAAACTTCTAGATCAAAGAGACTTTTTTTGAATTAATTGATCTAGAGTCCCACAGTCTACAGTATAATCACCTAAACAATTTTGGAAATAGAATCTCAGCCAGTGCCCAGGGCAAAGGTTGGGCTGAGTCCTGCATTCCTCTATGGTTCTTCCCTGGCTCCACTTGGCTCCCTCTCCAAAGATCTGGGCCAGGGAGAGTGCCCGAGGGAGAAGACAGCTCAGAGAGGAGGAAAAATCCAGAAGTGACTGCCATCAAGAGAGCCATAAAAATGCTTTTAACTTGAAAATGGTCTGGGGAGGGGTTGCACAGTGTCCATAGGGAAATTACATGCAAATACCACACGAGCTTTGTGGAAATAGCTTTGCAGCATTCTATCCATTTCCATACTGTGGATGCAGCCCTTGGGAGAATCCCAGCAGAGAACACAATATCCAAGGGTCTCAGGAGTTTCCTCTAAATATCCCTGGAAGGCAAGGGGCCAAAAGCCAAGTATTTTATCACGTTCAAGCTCTTCTATAACTTGAGTCTAAGGGAGAAAGGAGAAAGGAGGGGGAAACGTGGGGACAAGTAATTTTTAGGTGAGCTTGTCCCTTTGAACTTTTCATTTTGTTCATGTTGCCGTCCTGGTTTCAGCCCAGATGTGCCATTTTCACCCTTGTAACACATGCCATGAGTAGCTTAGTGCAGGAAGGATTGAGGGGGCCCACAGGTGGAAACTGACAGACAGCTGAAAGAGTTAAGAAACTGAAAGAGTTAAGAAAAGTTCCTGCCTCTAGACAGGAAGATGAGGGTCTTGGCTGTTTTTTGTTTTTTTTGTTTTTTTTTTTTGAGATGGAGTCTCACTCTGT